ACACCTTCGGCCGCTGTCCCTACGGTGTCACCTGCCGCTTCGGCCAGGCCCACCTCGGGGACGGCCACCAGAACCTGGTCAACGCCTCCCTGGTGCAGCAATGGGAGGGGAAGGTGCTGGTGAGGAACGGCCTCTCCAAGGAGCTGCAGCAGCAGCTGCGCAAGAGGAAGTTCAGCTTCCACAAGGCCGAGGAGTTTCTGCGTGGGCTGCGTGCAGGGAAGGGAGGCAAAGCCACGGGGAGCTCCACGGAGGTGTCCAACTGCACTGGTCCCCAGGAGGGCCTGAGGGGCAGCCCTGAGCTGCAGGAGCAGGGAGGGGATCCCAGACCTGAGGCTCTGCAGAACTCCCAAGGAGCTGAGGATACCCCCAAACCTGAGGTCCTGCAGAGCTCCCAAAGGGCTGAGGATGCTCCCAGACCTGAGGCTCTGCAGAGCTCCCGAGGGGCTGAGGATGCTGCCAAACCTGAGGTCCTGCACAGCTTCAGAGGAGCTGAGGATGCTCCCAAACCTGAGGCTCTGCAGAACTCCCAAGGAGCTGAGGATACCCCCAAACCTGAGGTCCTGCAGACCTCCAGACGAGCTGAGGATGCTGCCAAACCTGATGTCCTGCAGAGCTCCCAAAGGGCTGAGGATGCTCCCAGACCTGAGGCTCTGCAGAGCTCCAGAGAAGCTCAGGATACCCCCAAACCTGAGGTTCTGCAGAACTCCCAAAGGGCTGAGGGTGCTCCCAACCCTGAGGTCGTGAGGAACTCCCAAGGAGCTGATGGTGCTCCCTCCATCCCAACCCTGGGCCCGCTGACAGATGAGGACATCACGAAGCTGCGGCCGTGTGAGAAGAAGAAGGTGAGAGTCCCTTGTGTCCTGCTCCCGTGGTGGAAATTGTGCATGGAAAGAGGGAAAAAACCCCCTTGGAAAGGCTTTAGCTGGGGGAGGCAGGCAGAGCATGGAAGGAATTCCTGCCTGTGAGGGTGGGGAGGGGCTGGGATGGAATTCCCAGAGCAGCTGTGGCTGCCTCATCCCTGAAAGTGTCCAAGGCCAGGCTGGACAGGGCTTGGAGCACCCTGGGGTGGTGGAAGGTGTCACTGCCCATAGCCAGGGCATGGAATTGGATGATCCTTAAGGTCCTTTCCAAGCCAAACCATTCTGTGATTCCATAAAAACCATTGCAGCTCTGCTGACCTGCTCCTCCATCCCTGTTTTCCAGCTGGATATCCAGGGCAAGCTGTACCTGGCTCCACTGACCACGGTAGGTTGGTGACTCGCTGTGGGCATGGTTGGAACAGAGCAGATCTCCTGACCATCCCTGCTGTCCTTGGCAGTGTGGAAACCTCCCGTTCCGACGGATCTGCAAACGTTTTGGGGCAGATGTCACCTGTGGGGAGATGGCTGTGTGCACCAACCTGCTCCAGGGCCAGTCCTCCGAGTGGGCTCTGCTCAAGCGCCACCACACCGAGGACATCTTCGGGGTGCAGGTGAGGCTTTCCCACCCCACAGCCCACCCAGGGCTCCCTTCCCAGGGGAAAAGCTGCCTCTGGAGCTCAGGGGAGCTCCTTCCCTCTGGCAGCTGGAGGGAGCCTTTCCAGACACCATGACCAAGTGTGCAGAGCTGCTGAACAGGACAATCGACGTGGATTTTGTTGACATCAACGTCGGCTGTCCCATCGACCTGGTCTACAAGAAGGTGAGAAGTTCTGTGGTGGGTTTTCCTTCCATGAATCCTTGTCCTCAGCCTCTGCTGCCTGATTGCTCTTTCCAGTCTGATCCAGAGCTCCCAGTCCATTTATGATCTCATGAGGAGGGGAATAAGCTGCTCAAGGAGCAGGGAATGGCTGTCTCTGCCTGGTGGGATTTGGGAGGGAAAAGCACTCTGGAGTGATTTTGGTTGAAGAATCCACTTTCTCCAAACTCTGAGGTGCCCCAAGGACTCTCCACTGTGTGAGGAAGGTCCTGAGCTCCACGTTTTGTCCCTCAGGGAGGAGGCTGTGCTCTCATGACTCGCTCCAACAAGTTTGAGCAGATCGTCCGCGGGATGAACTCGGTGAGTGGGAGCTCCTGGAGCTGAGCTGAGCTGAGCTGAGCTGGTGGAGCCCAGTCCAGCCTGGCCTCACCTTCCCACCTCTGCAGGTGCTGGATGTCCCCCTGACGGTGAAGATCCGCACTGGGGTGCAGGAGAAGGTCAACGTGGCTCACAAAATCATCCCCAGGATCCGCGAGTGGGGCGCGTCCATGGTCACGGTACGGGGACAGAGCTGTGGGGTGGTGCCTGGGGAGTTCTGCCTGGAGATCACATTGGGATGACCTTCCCCTGCCTTTTAGTGTCCTCTGCTTGTAAAAGGAAAATTCAGGTGCAGAGAAAATTCCTCCCTGCTCCTGAGCCTTGGGT